TAGTTACAATTATTAATGTTCAATATAAAAAATATTTGATTCCAAAGAACAAAAACAGAAATTATTTTGTATGAAAAGATATTCAAAAAAGTAAAAGCTTAATGACTGATTTAGTTTAACACAGACCACATGATTCTTTATTACAAGTCAATATAAGTAATTCTTGAAAACAAACTAACCTGTGCTTTCCACTGTTCCACTGAAACCCCAGAATTACACAACACAAGACATCGTTTTCTTACAGTACAACAAGCAGTAACACCTACTAATGACTTCCCTGCTCCTAAAATACCAAGTAACAAAAAAAATTACCATCTATGTGAAATAAAAATCAAATAGCACTCAGTTTAGTGTTATTCTTTAAACAACACAATGTGTTATTTTTAAAACTAAAATTATTTCAATTGGTAAGTATATCTTAAAAAGCTACTTGGCAAGCTTAAACAACAATAAAGTGAATATCATTCATCACAGAGCAATAATTCTTGATGAACATTCCACAAAACCACAGTCACAGGAAATGGTCATCAGAGGGCACTGCTATATTTGCTCACTGTGGACACTATTCATGTCAAGAATGACCTGCTTTGTTAGGATAACATGATAAACAACTGAACAGGGTTGACAAACATTCAAAATGGCTACATGCTTTCAAATGGCCCATTTGATTTTTAGCTACAAGATATCTAAAATTAATTGTAGAGCATGGAGCACCTACTGTATTGATGATCTTGAAAATTGTCATCTGCCAATGTGTAACCATACTGCATACATATGACAGCTTCATTAAACAATCACTCATGTCAGCTCAAGGCCAATGTTGACAAGAATGCTGGCTACATTTAGTATAAGTAGCATCCTCTCATGCATGTTTCTATTGGCCACAGACTCATGTTCCTTGTGGTCTCACTTGTATATCCACAAAGAATTACTATATAGCATATTACATTCATTATATTCATGTTTGAACAAGCAAAAAAACTTTATAAGAATATTGTAAAGTACATACATGAGTATAAATGTTTACACATATGTATATTATGTATGGAACTCTCATTTAAAAATGTAAACTATAAGACAAATATTGGTGTAAACAATAATTATTGACTGGTGTAGTTAGTTTGAATGTCTAAATATATTCTTTAAGAAACAAACTTACAACTTTCAAAGTTTTTGATATATATATATATATATTCCTTTAATACTAATGGATTTTTCTAGACAATCACTCTTTGAAGTAGCTAAATTAAAAATCAATCAGTAAATACTAAAAATATACCATCAAAGGAGCACTGAAAAATTAAAAAATTAGTTTTCCAACTTTGAAGAAAGAATTTCATTAGATAAATATTCTGTAAATTTTCCTGTAAACATCAATAAACTTTGTGAAGAGGTTGAAAGAAACATGTATTCAAACCTCATGTTCCATTAAGTTATATAAATACACTTGGAGGAGCTTAAGCATTATAACAAGAACCAATAGCAACTAAAAGCAAGAAAATATGGAAACTTCTTATAAACAACCATTAATATTACACTAGCTGGGTAAAACCAGCTAAGTCTACAAATAACCTGGTTAAGAGTAATTTTTTAGCCACAGATAAACAACTCATAGAACAGCTCTGAGTTTTTTTGTTTTTTTAAGAACAAACTTTCAACTTGTAGCTCCATCACCTCTTGACCAATTTGAGATCTAATTACAGTTTTGGACTCAGGAGGTCAAACACTTTCTATTGATGTATTTGACCATGCCCAAGGTCTCATAGATAAATTTATTCTAATCCTGCCTAAATTAATTCAATTTGAGGGTAGGCTGGTAGAAATCCTGATGAGTAATAAAATCAAATTGGGTAAACGCATGCCCCACCCTTGGTATTGCTGGTGCACAAAAATATAGCTAATAAAAAGGGAAACAAAGGTCTCAGATTAATTTATTCTAATCCTGCCTAAAATAATTTCAAGTGCCAGGGATATTGAGGATTTCCATATTTCTTAGACATGTTTGATTGCAAAGTATCAATACTAATTAATAAACTAAATACATAAAAACTGCATATCATGAACATACACTTATATAAAATCTTCTCTACAAATGTTTAACAAATAATCATTGGCTTAACAATCCTAGGCAAACAAAAGTTCAGAGTATTTATATCTGAGTCATGTACTGTACCTCAGATACAAAGAAATAAACTCAAGCAGTTGTGGAAAGTATCTACCGTGTATCATACTTACATAAACAAAAAGCCTAACTTCAATGAAATGTTTTTATTCAACCCCCTGTTTTTAGTTCTCTTTCTAATCTCAGTATCTTCTAAAAGTATACCCATTTCTATTTGTAGCATCCTATATACATAATCTTACAATACCCTTTATAATCCAAGTTGTTCATCCTCAAATGGTACACTTTTGATGATAGTACCCCCAAGAAGCAGCTATAGTACCATTTCTGACCCTATCTTAACCTGAAAGCATTTACTTACACTTAATTACCTTACACAAATTTTTCTATGTTGCTTTGACTTTTCCACGTGTTTAATAACTTCTGCTTAGTAATGATGTTAGAACTTACCACATGGCAATACTATCACACCCGCTCGAGCTCGACCATTACCAAACATCTTACGTAAACTTTTCTCCTGGTAGGGACGAAGAACGGCAGATGGTTTTAAATCAATGCTTAATAGTTTGGAAAAATAAATAGAAATTTATATTACATATGTAGTGATAACTTGAGTTAACTAAATTACAAATTTGTTGTGCCAAACAAAAGAAAGTATTAAAAGAGAAACTATAAAAAAGTTACCTTTGTTACTAAGCAGCATTAAAAATATTATTATACTTATGTATAATAAAATCTGTATAACTCATAATTCATTTAAATGCTAAAAAAAAAAAAGTTAGTCAAATTCTACAATACATATTCTTCAACATGTATACCAAACTTGTTGTACTATGACAAATGATGAATTTCTAAAATGTTACTACCTGCAAATATATATTATCTACCGCAGTAATTCTAATACTAGAAATAAACGACCTTTAAACACCAAAACTCATAATAAAGTAATAAAGCTTATTGTTGAAAGAACTATGTTGTTGTAATAATGAAAAGCTACCTGTAGTAAACAACAGTTCTATCAAAGTTACAGATTGAAATAACAAAAGATGAAAAAATAAAATAATTATGATTATAAGTAGGGCCAATTACGGGAGAGGGGGGCTGTTTATAGGTGCCATCCTTTGTCCCTTTTCATCTGTGGTTGTAGTTTTTCAATGAGGAGAACTTCTTTAAATTTTCTATCAGTGTACTTGTTGGCTTTGGTAAGGATTTATAAAGAGAACTGATCTGCAAATGTGCTTCTTTTGTATTGTTGTTTATAAAGATCTTAGCTTTTAATTATTTCAACAATACAATTATTTCAACAATAAGCTTTATTACTTTATATGACAAATACATGTTGTAGAAATGCACACTATAGATTTGATTCAAATATATTATTTGAACCATTTAAATTTTTGTACTGTCTGTAATTGTTTGTGTTTAATGGAACACTCCTGAAAAAGCTGTATATCGAAATGATGAGTGTCCAATTAAAGAAAAGTAACAAATTTTGGTGTTTTAAGGTCGTTTATTTTTAGTGTAAAATGTCTTTTATACACCAATGTGCACTACAAAAATTACATACTGAAGTAATTCATTGTTTCCAGAATTCCACAATTGTGGATAAAAACTGAATAAATGCTTGTAAGTCTAAACACAAGGATAATAGTTGTCTAAAGTTGATAACAACTTGTCTTTATTGGCATGAGTTGCGCAGTTGGCATATGTATGTTTTATTATAAAACTGTGGTTTAACATTAAATCTTTTAGTCAAAAGAAAAAATTACAGTCAAAATGAAGTTCTGATTAAATCATGTTGGATAAAATGTAAAAGATATATTTATCTTTATTTATTGCAGAAGATGAAATTAATTATTAGTAAAGGAAATATATATATATATATAAAGATTTCTTTTCTTTTTCACCAAAGGGTTTTTGGAACCAAAGTAGCCTGAGAAATCATGTTTAGTGTTTGTTACTATTAACAACAAATAGCCTGATACCAGTACAGGTACCCTAAAAAATATAACATAACAACTACTTAACACATTTTTTATATATGAGGTTTTGGTTTTATTAATAAACACGGAAAATAACCTTACTATCAGAAACAAATTAATTTTAGCAAGCACCAAAATCTAGATTAATTTAAAGAATAAACAAAAATTATGTAAAACACTTACTTGATATTGGGATTAACAGTATCATTTCTAAAGTCATATTCTGCTAACAATGGGTATTCAAGTTCTATGCACCTACGATAACAGAGAAATTTTATTACACCAATGTATTGCAGTGTGTTAATTAGACATTTTCATTTTAACTATGAATTTCTTGTTTTTGGTTTACCAAAATAAGTCACATGTTAAAATCTTCATGATTGAAAATGTCATAAATTACAAGATCTAATGTAATCTTCATTAAAATACATTGTTTTTAACCTTCAAATGCCCAAGTGTGTCACTTAGGCACACCTCTTGTATGTTATATTTTATTGCATTGAAAGAAAAAGGAGGAAATAGTTTAAAATTTCTACAGATTAGGCAGTTTCTGAAAATATCTTTATATTATATGTGATATTAGAATGAATTCACAACTTTAAAAATTCAAAAGTATTTCAATATATGTTTTAAGAAACAATTAAAAATGCTTGCCTTTTTTACTGTAGATTTCAATTACTAATTTTTATGGCTTCCTATATTTTTCTAAAACTTAGTTTTATTTTATAAAAATTTAAATTTGATTTCTTTTTACATTCAAGAGACACAAAAGCAGTTTCCCTGTTTTTACTGTCACTAGTGTACACTAAAAATAACTTTATCAATCATGCTTAAAACTTGTTAATTAGAAAGATTAATCAAATATACCTAACAAGTTTTTTATCTGTTTTATATTCATTTATATATATTTGTTTCAATTTCATTCAGTGATTTTCTTTGGCCATTTAAACAATTAGTTAAGCAAATAAGGTCTAATGTAAAAACTGCTCAACCAGCAGCCTTATCAGTGAAATGAAACTTAATAGGTCTAGTGTAAAGGTACTTAACTAAGCCTACCTCATTTTTGTTTGAAAAACATTTTTTTCCCTATCTTACTACAATGTCATAATTCAAATGAAGCATAAAATGATAAATCTAGCTTTTCACAAACTGCAAAAACAAGAACATTCATTGTCATAGAAATTGTTCATGATTATCTTTTCTTCTAGCAACATATTACCAAGCTTGGCTTTTATCACTTTGTTCTGATCTATACATGAAGCTATTGAAATGGAAGCAATATTGACATATACAGTTGAAAAGAACAGAAAATAAAAGATATTTCATTATGTGTTTAGATCATTAGCTTATGATTTCTCAAAGCTGAGGTACAGACGATTGCATCATGCCATGACAACCATGACTGAGGAACAATAACTGACTAAAATTGATAAGTTGTACATTTGTATTGAAGTTACGAGATCAAATTTGCACTGCTTCTTTCAAAACTATTTGATTTCCTCTTAGCATAATATACATGCAGGATTATGACAGAAAAAATTCAAGAAACCCAAAGACACTAATATTTTCATTCAGAGTGAGCTGAAATCAATCCAAAATCATAATTTGCACTATTTAAAAATGTTTATGAACAAGATTAAATAAAAACATTTTCACTGAATAAATTTCAACACTGAAGTTTTTTTTCATGTGTGGAAGAACAACTACAAATTTATTTTTTGTAATGTTTTAATTCAATGGTGTAATTTTGCCCTTGGGATGGGATACACCCATCAAGGCATGATATAGTTAATACAGTTATGTCAGTGACACTGTTTAGTTTGCCCTATAATAGCATTGAAAAATGCCTTGCTACCAAGTAAAGGTTTTCAGCTTTTGACAACTAGTAGGATAGAACATTTGCCATATACTATTTAGATTTATGAATATTAATACCACTAGCTCATTTCTTTAAATTTTCCAAAGCATGTTATTTTACAATTAGAATAACTCAACATCAGCAACTGCAAACTTTATACAGTAGCCCAAATCTAATGTCAATGCAAGGTTTTTTCTTCCATTCATGTTTTATCATTTTCACCCAGAAATGTTATCATACCTTTTCTGTAAATTTTCTATCTTTTCCTGATCCACTTCAAAAGAAACAAGTTTCAGCTCCTCCACTTCATCTTCATCCTGTTCCATCTTTTCATAATAGTTGTAAATGTCATCAGGCACAGTAGCCTTTTCATCATTAGGAAGCTTCTCTTGAGTTTCCAGACTGGTTGATGCTGAAGCAGGAGTGTTTTTACTAAACTATAAAACTTAGAATGTTAGAACTTTTATTAGTAAAATAAAGGTTGTTCATTTTCTTTACTGTTTGTTACTTGTGGGTTATTTTTAAGCACTGATGAAAACTTAAATATCAAAAATCTTTACTAAAAAAACAAAAAAATTGATTGTTTTAAAGCACAAAAAAGTATGTATATGTAATTGCTTTAAAACAAATATTGTTAAATTGATAAGAAAGTAAGCCTAAAATACCAAACTTTCAAAAGAAAATCTGGTACTATTTAATCTCATCTTCTTCTTTAACACCATGAAAAACAAAACAAAAATGTTTTACTCACCTGAGGTACTTCTGACCGTTTTTCTTGAGTAACTGAGAGTCCTTCATCGTCTAGATCACGTCTAAGTCGACATTGCTGAATCACTGGATCTTTTAACAGCTTCTGAAGGACATCCTGGAAAATTACAAAAGAACAGAAAAGAAAAACTGGATTAGTAGTAAAAGAATTTTCAAGTTTGTTTTCTTATTCTAATTGTTTATTACATAAGAAACAACTTAACATTCATGTGTTGTTTTTGGTATGGCAATTTCTTGCCTTAAAGTTGTTTTGCTACTACTATTATATGCCCATGTACCCTTGAAGTGCTAAAGACCATTATTTAATTTTAAACTAATCTAGAAATAATATTCTTTTGATATTAAAAATCATTTTGCATCATATATATGTGTATGTTTCTATATACCTCATGTTTATAAAAGTTGATGTTTGACAGCAAGTAAAAATGGTATTATTAGAAATGCTATGATTAATGCTGAAATTGTTACTTTCCAGCTATATTAATAAAACCTATAATGCTGAAAACTATTCTATACAAACAATTTAACATCTGAAACCTAAGAAGTATATTTCTTTTTGTTCCTTGTTTATTATATTTTCTTATTGTTATTATTGTTGTTTATTTAATATTTTGTACTAGTTTAAAGATACTATTAACTTTATGTTTTGCTTTTCAAGATTATGTTTACTTATGATTATGGTCACTTATGTATAATCATCTAACATATGCCTTGACAATCATTTGAGGTTTTAACTTGCAACTTTGTAAGTAGATGTAGCAGTATTTAAGATGTTCTAGTCACAATTTTTTTTTCCATAAACAAGAGCATATGAACTTAAACTAAGCTAAAAACACTTCCAAATAAATGTGGGTTATGGTACATGCAATGAAGAAAATTTTAAGATAAGATAAGCTATAATGAAGAAGTACACTTACTGGAAAGGGACTCTCCACGTAGTAACGATTGTGTTTCAACACAAGTTTTATCTTCCCATAACTTACAGTACACAACTGAAGAAAAAATTAAGAGGGATAATTATATTTACACAATCACCTTAATATTCTATTGTATTACAAGAACACATACTGTTAAATGTAAAGCTCAAACACAATACACTAAGTGATATAAAAAGGAAACCAAAATATTCTAAAACAACTTGAAATTATAAACTTTGTTTCTTTTTATTTGAACTGTAATATATGCACGTATCAAATAAATTAAAACAATGGCATTTTCTCAGTTTATTCAGTTTTGTCAATTAGAATATACATGAACTTGAGAGAATAAACATTAAATACTCAGTCACTTACAGGATGATACATGTTAATTGATTTAAACAACTTATGGCTACACCAAATAGTATACAAGTAATTATGTACAATCCAAAAATGTGCATATGGTTTCATACTAAACCTGCATGTAAAAATCACAGAATTGTAAAAATGGCAAAACTTCCTTAACTCTTTCGAGATGGGTGAAAGGCCATGTCATCTCGTTTGTTGACTCGCATTCAAAATTTTATTAAACTACTATTTCATTAATTTATGTCAATAACTTTGGTATCAAACTGTAGATTATAATTCAAATTTTAGTACTATATATTACTCAATTTCTTAATTGAAAAGCAAATATTAAAAAAACACAGATAAACATAAATTTTTGTGTGTCATGTGGTATGTTGAATGCAGCACTGGTTTAAATTAAATGTTTGTGAAATCAAAATACTCAGTCTATAGTTTCGTACAAATTAGAAACTCTAATTATTGATATTAACAAGCTAGAATAAATAATAAGAGCCTCTTATCTTTTCAATTTGCCAAGATATTGCTCATGTAATAAATCAAACACAGTGGCACCCCACCCATCTCTATCCATTTTTGGAAATGCTACCTTATATACAGTTACTTCTATATATGACATGAATAACCAATTGGAAGCTCAGGATGTCCCCTTAGTGGCTTTTTCAACCATTTTAATGGGCTTGGCACCATTTCTTTCTTTTGAACCAATATTTCAAGAAGGTAGTATGTGTCTTTAGTCTGCTCAAAATTTCATATTTTTTTAGACTAACATACATCTTAGTTACTAGGCTTGGTAAATTATAGTGGAATTCTATGGTATTAATATAGTAATTTATTATTTTTTAGTTATTCAGATGTACATATAAAACCTAAAAAAAATATTTTGTTTCATATCCTCCACATGCAAATTTTTTAAAGGCTTAGCAGCCTACATCAAGCAGCAACCGAGTACAAAGGTCGTAACTAGAAGAGATAATTGTTTGCTTTACTGTTCTATGTTTTAAGAAAAAAAAAGTTTAACTTATTTCAAAATAGCAATAATCTATATACATATATACTATATAATAATTGAAATGTGAATGTATTTTACAAAATACTAGTCTACTAAAACACAACCAAGACAAGTTACTTTGTACAGACCAAAGGTCAGCTTTATGATATTTGATACGGTAACATAATTGCATGTGAGCCACGTCATTGTAACTTCTGTATTGTTAGCCAGGCACAGTTGAAAATTCAATATAGTAAAAATGATAAATATATATATAAATGTATAATGTTATGAGATTTAAGCTATTTCATCCAAACATTTATGTTTTCATGTTATAATTTGTGTTCATTCTAGAATGAAAGAGGCATAATTTATATTTATTTCCTAATTTTTTATGGTAGTTGCAAGATTGGTCAAATCTACCAAACCCGTGCAGAGATTAATTACTGAAAATAACAGATAAAATATGAAGTTTTTTCTCAAGAAACATTGGATAACTATCTGGACATTATAAAGATTTTGTATGTGAAATTTGAAAATTTTCTGATGCATAAAAGTATTTTTAATCTTAAAATGAATATTACTTTGCATGATAGATAGACAACATGCAAAAATAAATATAAGACATGAGAAAAACATTGCTTTACAAATGTTAAGACTTTGATATTTTGTGTATGAAAGCATTGTAATGTTTACTGATAATCTACCAAATGTCGTTAGCATTTACTTACTAATTTAAAAGTTATAACATGAAAACTATAACAAGCACAAAATTAATTGCCTTTATCACTTCAAATGTACAAAGTTTTTGAAACAAGATACAAAACATGTTATTAACAAATACAAGTAGTAAGAACTGCCCATCAGTTATCCCTAAAACTTTGAAATTGCACATAACTTATGTTTAATAATATATATTTAAATTATTTTACATATCTACAACATATGTGTGTAACTCATCATTTTATGAAAGGATTACATGATAATCTTAATGACTGTGAATATAATGTTATCGCATATTGTTTCATGCAGTTGTTTTCATGTGAACTTTCAGACTTCCTATAATATGTATGTCTAGACCTGCCAACTATAAAACTAATCTAATCTAAAATCATCATTAAACTCAATCCATTCAATCTTAAATGCAAGTGATTAAAACAGTCACTCCATTTACTTAAGTCAAAATTTCGTTTTAAAAATAAAATTTTATAATGACAAAACCTCTTATAGATTTAAGAACAGGGCTTAAACCTAACGTTCTAACAACTGGCAAATGTCAACATTTTCTAACACTGAAAATGTATTTCTGATAGGCACTTACCTCATCTCACTCAAATCTATCTTGTCCTTGCTAAAATTTTTCAACAGTGCACCAGTCTTTTATACCCCTTCATTTTTGGCACCATTACAGCAACATGTGATAATCATATAACTACCTTCCACCAATCATATTGTACCATCTATACTAGTACAGGTAACTCCCTCTACCATTGCAGCACAATTCTCACTTATGAGAATTGGCAGATACAAGCCAGAAACACCAGTAAATCAGTAGAGAGGAAGGGCAGGAAGTGGATGAGGGAAGTAAGTACCTATCAGAAATACATTTTCAGTGTTAGAGAATGTTAATTTCCAAAATGGTACTACCTTTGCAATTTGGGATTCTAGCTTTGGGTGAGCAATGAAGGCACAAAAGTAATCAAACAGGCAGAGGACAACTGCCACGAAAGAACAGGTGTGCCACAATTATAAAAGGAGGCACACTTGTGGGGCATAGCACTATTTCTGGAACTGGTATGCTCTTCTCCCAATAACAAACCAAGTAAGACACATAGAGTGGAGCTTAATAGACAGGCACCTTGTTGGGTAATACAGATTCTGCCCATGGACAAGATATAGTACATAAGATGTCCACATATGTAACAAGCGTGAGCATGTGACACAATCATAGTCAGATGTGAAGAAGGTGCCTGGAATCATATATATGTATACGTGGCTAGGGCTAAAGGGCTGTAAATGTATATGAACAGGCCAAGTATGGTCTGCCTGGGGCAAAAAACATCCAGGGTAAGTGTCTTGGGATACCTTGGATTATGCCAAGTGTGGTCCATGCAGTCAAAAACAACAGTGGAAGCACCTTGCGTAAGACTGTAAGATCATCAAGTGTGGTCCACCTGTGAAAAAATCTAGAGAAGGCTCCTTGGATTTATATTAAGATAGCCAGGTGTGGTCAGCCTGGCCAAAACATCCAGGGTATGCACCTTGATATACGTCAGATTATATCAAGTACGGTCCATCCAGGCAGCAAACATCCAATGGAAGTGCCTTGCATAGTATTTTTTGTTTCATATATTGTATGTAACAGATTGTGTGATCAACAAGTGCAGTTAGCACGGGCAAAAATATCGAGGGGAAACACCTTGTAAAATTATGATTATGTCAAGTGTGATCCATTGTGACAGAAAACATCCAGTGGTTGTGCCTTGTATAAGATTGATGGACTTACATCTTGAATGTAATATTTTGAGAGATCAACAAGTGCAGTTCACTTACACAAAAAAACAACCAAGGTATGCCCCTTGTGATATTAATGAGTATGTCAAATGCTGTCCATTCAGGCAGAAAACATCCAGTGGAAACACCATGCACAAAAAAAAAATTAGTTTGTGAACAACAAGTGTATTCAGCCCAAGCAAAGCATCCAGGAGAAGTGCCTTATTATATTTAACTACTATCAATGGAAAAAACTCTAAAATATATTAAGTATCTTGCACAAGGTTATCAAATAATATTTTTATAAACAACACAAATTTTTTAAATAGTTTCTTCTAATATCAAATATTTTTATTAAGTCTTAAGATTTG